GGAGAGTAAGGGGTGGAGGGATTCCAGGTGAGAAACAGGATTGGCAGAAGGCAACTGGCACATTAAGGGAAAAGGGCCTATTAGCTATTGTTACTGTTACATGCCATGGAGTCAAAACCGACTCACAACTGACCCTCCAGGGGGTTTACAGAGGCTGTAAATCACATTGGAGTAGATGGTCTATCTTTCTTCTGTGGACCAGCTGGTGGATTCAGACCACCTACCTCAGGATTGGCAGTGTACCTCCTTACCAGTTAACTACCAGAGCTCCCTAATTAGCCGTTGTTGTTTACTATCAAGTTGGAACTGACCTATAGCTGATTCTCCCCTGGGTTTTCAGGGTCAGTAAATCACATGGAAGGATATGGATCATCCTTCCTCCACCAAGCAGCTGGTGGCTTCAAACTGTGTACCTTTTGGGATAGCAGCACAGCTTCTTACCACTAGGCCACTGTGATAAGACCTCAACCCAGCAAAAATAGTAGTGTTCGATAAGACATTAAATAACAAATGTTGGTAGGACTATGGAGAGATTGGTGGGGATGTAAAATGGTACAACTTCTATGGAAAGCAGTTTGATACTTTGGAAGTTGAAAATAAAAATACCATTTGATCCCACAGTCCCACTATTAGATATATATCACAAAGAAACGAGCTACAACACAAATTGAAATATTCACACCCATGTTTATTGCAGCACTATTTATAATAGTAAAGATATGGAAACAAACTAGGTGCCTCTGAGCAAACAAATGGCTTTAAGAAACTATGGTATATTAATATAATGGAGTATTATACATCACTGAAAGTTTGTGAAACACTGCGTAACATGCATGCAATTATAGAAAATTATGCTGAGAGTGACATAAGTCATAAAAGGACAAGCATGGTATAAGACCACTAGTACAAAACGCTAAGTAAAGGTTTGTACACAGAATCCATCTTGGAGGGTTAAAAGGGATGAGAAGCAAGAGAAAGGGGAGTAATTTTTTTTTTAACCCTGCTTTCCCTTAAGTTGTTGGAGTACTGTCTGTTGTAGTACTCTGCCTCCCCACAGCTTCACTTGTCTTCTCTATCTCCCTTTTTCTTTCCAAATAAAGCTACTCCCTCTTGCAAGGAAAAAAAAGGTACCTATTTAACCAAAGTAAGGACAAGAAGGGCTCATATCCTTTTCAGTTGGTCCATTTTGACTGACTGAGAAGAGGAATATTGACAGCGGTACCTAGCAAAGCCGTTTGAATCTATTTCAGGCAGGTTGACTACCTGGCTAAGAACTGAGCAGAGAGGAAAGGTGGTTGAAGTATCAGGAGGGTAATTTGTCTCCATGGTCTAGGCTGGATTGGTGAGCCTGGAGGCCCAGGAATCAGGTCTTTTAGTTCTTGGTCTACTAGAAGTGCTGAGCACTGTATTGAGTTTGGTGCTGGGAATAAAGGACTGGGAGAGAATATTGCCTCATTGTGGTCTTCCTTGTTCTACCAACATGTGGTGACTAATCACAAAGAGGAAAACTTGCTCTGCTTCTCCTCACCTCCAACCTTGTCCTCACTGCTAGTCTGCAGAAAGAAGTCATGAAATAATCGAACAGTTGAACTCAATTAGCGTTAATAGAAATTCCTATCCTACTTGATTGGATGAATGGTTTGCAACCTTGGATTGATGAATATGTTGTTCTGAGGTGTTTTCAAAAGGTAATAGTACATAAATTTGGATTGTTGTTGGACAGTTTGTTTCACCCAAATATTGGAGATGCTGGGACTTCATATTGAATGTTGGTGGCGGTGGGTTCCATTGACTGGACTGCAGCACGCAACCCCCTTAAAAACAGATCTGAACCTTGCCCTATCCTGTACCTTTGTTACAGTCACTGTCCTAATCCATCTTGTTGAGGCTCTTCCTCTCTTTCTGACCTTCCACATTTCCTAGCATAATGTTTGTGTGTTTTTTTTTATTTCTAAAAGTTGATCCCTCAGGACAACATGTCCAAAATATGTGATACAAAGTTTCATCATCTTTGCCTTTAGGGAGGACATTGGTTGTACTTCCTTCAAGATAGATTTGTTTGGGTTTTTGGCAGTCCATGTGGGAATATTCAGTACTCTTCTCCAACACCTAATTCAAAGGCATATATTATTCTTCTGTCATCTTTATTCATTGTCCAACTTTCAGATGCAAAGTAATTGAAAAGACCATGTTTGGATCAGGTGCATCTCAGTCTTTAAACTGACATCCTTGCTCTTTAGTGCTTTGGAGAGGTCCTTGACAACACATATTCCCAATCCAGTACATGTCTTTTAGTTTCTTTCTTTCTTTTTTTTTTTTTTAATTTCAGTGGATTTCCCCCCCCATTTTATTTTATTAATTTTAATGAACATTTACAAAGATTTTGGATTTCCATTCATTCATTGTTGGACTTTTCTCCCTGCCCACCCCTCCCCCCTAGTTCACATCTCTCTTTGAAAAGTGGAATTCCTTCATTGGTATACAATCCCCCTCCTCCCGTCTTTTAGTTTCTTGACTGCTAATACCAAAGATGTTGATTGTGATGCAATCACAATCCAAGTAAAGTGAGATCCTTGAAAACTGAGATGTGACCCATATTGAAGTCTTTTATTTTCTGAAGCACGTCGTTGTCACTTTCTGTAGGCAAGTTTGTGTCATCTACAAGACACAGGTTGTTTGAACCTTCCTCCAGTCTTTCCCCACATTCTTCATCATTATAGTCCAGCTTCTTGAATGAAGAAGCTTTGCTCAAGGGGAGCTCTGGTGGCCTAGTGGCAAGGAGCTGCAACTACAATCCCAGAGGCACACGGTTCGAATCCACCAGATGCTCTGCCGGGAAAGGAGGGACAATCTCCTCCTGTACCAGTCAGATCTGATTAGACGGTACACTCACAAAAAAGAAAAAAAAAAAAGACGTTTTGCTCAATATACAGATTGAATATCATTTAGGTTTAAAACAAAACTAGCACAACCTTAACTTTTTTTTTAACAACCTTAATGTTTATAAATAGATGAGGTCTGTATTGTGTTTCTTCTCATTGAAATTAGCAACAGTAGTGGAAGTTTCTGCATTAACCAAAGTTTAGTATTGAAGGATGATTTGGAAACATGAAAAGCCTGCTCAGCTGACCCTTTTGTGCCAGAATTTTACTGCATTTGTTGTAATTGTATCTGGAGGTGCTGTGCATGTGATTGGTGATGGAGCTAAAGTTCCAAGTTGCCTTTACCTCTGCAGCCTGAAATGTAAACTGTTGAGTAAATAAAGAAGCTGTGTGCTTTCTATGGTGTTGACACTAGCAGAAATAGCTGAACCCTGCTCTTCCAGCACTGTCGCTGTCGTTGTCAGTAATCACAGGGAAGAGTCTCTCTTGAGTTTCACACCAAACCTGATACCGTCACAATTACATTTTGGATGCACACAAATTACCTTTATTTCAGTTCATAGCATTCTGTGTTCCCTGTAAGATCGTGATGAAACAGAACAGGTGGCTGGGGAGAATTAGGATTTGAATTTACCTCTCAACTTTTTGCTTGCTTCTTGAAAATAACAGGAACTGAGTGGTTAATCACTAGTAATAATACATTGCATGTCAGCCGGCTCCTTCCAACTTGTCCTTAGAACGCATCATTGCTCCAAGAGGTTGTTTCTGAGAGTTGTTTCTGGCTGTTACTAAGCAAGCAATCTCAAAAGTTTAGGTGGGAGTGTCTCTGCATGAATTATTTGTCCTATCTTTTGTATTGGTTTTATTTCTTCGATTAATAGTTTGAGTTGTCAGATGAATTGGAGAGTGAAATGGCATCCTATTATCTTCTTGTCATCTCTTGTCTTTTCCCAATGCCATGCCGTCTGGAAGCATATTACATAGCAAGCTTGTGCGTGTTTTAAATGGACCTGTGGTGTGGAAAGCAACCTGTCAGCTTGAAAATGAGACTGGGTTATGTGTTATTGACACCGTTGCATTTGGAATCTTTTAACTTGAGAATTGCCCAAGAGTGGCAAGCCCCACAGGGACAGCAGCTCTTCCCCTAAGTCTGTGCCACCCTATCGTTTGCTTGCCCAGCCGAGACTCAGTAGCGCCTTCTCCACAGTTCATTCCTCTTCTGGTCATGTCCTACTAGGTCATATTTTTTCTTTACTGAATCTATCCAGATTTTGAGTATCCATATTTTACAAAGATTTTAATTTCAGAAAATAATTAGTGAGGACTGATTCAGGCAAGGAGGTAACATGTGTGGGTGTTATATTTACATATGTGAAGAGCAGATGTGACTCGTCTGGGATTGCTGGATATTTCAATTTAGGCAGAGAATTATTACTCTCTTCTGTCTTCCAGTGTGTCATGAAACTTCTATTTGGAGAAGAACTGGAAAGTTACCAAATATTGGCAGCTTTAAGTGTTCACAAATCCCTTGTAGATTTTTAAAAATATAAAAGCTAAGGAGTTATGCATATCTTAATGTTTTACTTTTATTGTGTCCTGCCCCCCTTGTTTGGTTACTAGGCATTTGTAGCATGAGGTTGGCACAGGGTAGAGCAGGGGTCAGAGCTGTTGTATGTAGGGTCTCTGTGAGTTGCAAGTGACTTGACCTAACTACAAGTTACCCTCTTATGGGATTATACCTTAAATATGAAAATACGTTTTCAGCAGTCTTTGCATTCCAATTACAACAAGAATTTTTGCTTTTTAATTCTCAGTTTATCTGGTTCTTACCTGTTAGTTCCTTCATTATACAGTTGTTGATGTTGTTATATGCCATCAACTTACAGCTGACCCTCCAGCAGATGTTCAGAGGCTGTAAGTCACACAGAAGGGGATTTTCCATCTTTCTTCCAAGGAGCAGCTGGTGAATGCAAACCTTCTGCCTTTGGGTTAGTAGCACAACTCCCTAACCACTAGGCCAACAGAGCTCTGAACCTTGCAGCACTAAACAGTAGCATTGTAGGCTTTCAGGAGATTAAAGATTTTCTGATTGAATTTTGCTTTATACTTAGGCTTGCTGGAATTGTGGGAGATACATCAGTGAAGAAATGGACTAGTGTATCTGAGCATGGAGTCTCCTTGCTGACCATCACCCCCAGCTCTCCTTGATAAATGAGAGCAATTGGGTCAGGAAAGAAGGAAAAGTGATCACCATGAAGCTAAAGCAACGAGTTGTACTGTTAGCAATTCTCCTTGTCATCTTTATTTTCACCAAAGTTTTCCTGATTGACAACTTGGATACATCAGCTGCCAACAGGGAGGACCAGAGAGCTTTTCACCGAATGATGGCTGGCTTGCGGGTAGAACTGGAGCCCAAGCTGGACCACACCTTGCAGTCTCCCTGGGAAATTGCAGCCCAGTGGGTAGTTCCCCGGGAAGTGTACCCTGAAGAGACACCGGAGCTGGGGGCAATCATGCACGCCATGGCGACCAAGAAAATCATTAAAGCTGATGTGGGTTATAAAGGGACACAGCTGAAAGCCTTACTGATACTTGAAGGAGGACAGAAAGTTGTCTTCAAACCTAAGCGGTGAGTTGTCATCTTAGCAGCTATATATGCGAGTGGGTCCATTCATTGAACTTGGGATTTATAAAATCATCTTTTCTTGTGCTTCTCTTTGGTCTGTACAAGGCTAAGGTTTTTTTACAATTAAACCAATTTTAAAATTTCTGTTGCAGAAAGATTTCTAGAAGATGTGGAAATTAGGATAAACAAAAAAGTGGTTTTTTTGAGAATTCCGAAGTCTGGTTAGCAGGTAATAAGGGACAAGTGTGGTTGTGCAGACACCAAATACCAGGAATCACACCTTACACTTTTTGTATCTGTTAGTGCTTTTTAACTCTCATCACAAATTTACAGTTCCTATTTTAGAATAAAAACCTCAGGCTAAGAAAGATAACCAACAAGGTCACCCAGCAGTAACCAGCAGAGCTGGGATTTGAATCCAATCTTGTTAGAATTCTGAGCAATTTGTATTCCACCACACACATCTAACTCTCTAAATGTATTTGTTTGCTTTCCTGCAAGTATGATGACATGGAGCACCCATCATCCACAGTCACTCGTTTGGTTTTGAAATGTGACCCCTGGCTCCTTGGTTTATGGTCAAAGAGATGGAAAGAAAGGAAGCTAAAAGAAGAAAATCCGTTTGGGTAGAGATGAGTTTGGGGCATTTTATGTTTAAATGAAAAGATATTATTTCCACACCCCGAACTTCCATGCTGAAGAACTGGGAGTACAGTGGGATAGCAGAGAGGTTAGAAGGCAGGTACTCCTCATAGTTAACAGTATTGGCCCAGGCGAAGTGGAGGCAGATAAATCCATAAACCAGCCTATGTCATAGCTTATGTCACTTCCTGCTTCCTACTACAGCAACCGTCCCATTACATTCCTTTTTCAGACCACCCTGAAAACTACTTCCATTCTTTTCCTAAATACCCATATTATCTAGTGCTCCTCAGCTTTAAAATATCCATGGACTTCCCCCTGCCCACCAGACAAAACCCAGCCTCTACAGCCCTTCAAGGATCAGGCGCTCACAGTCTGATCTACCTCCAGGTACCCAGCCTTACCCTCCCTCTTCTTTTCATCTGCCACACTGGCCCCCAGGTCTCCTGTTGTTTCACAAACAACCCATGACTGTGTCCAGCTTAAGGCGCTTCCCTCCGTCACGCAGCAAGCTGCATGGCCCCTTCCATAGGTGACAGTTCTCTAAGCCTCTGCATTCACTGACCTGTGCCACTTTACACCAAGTACGATTGCAGGCTGGTAAAGGTGGGCGTAGGTTTAAATGCTTGTAGAAATTTACTCTGTTTCTTAAACACCCAGCAAATAGCTATTCTGACCCCCAGGGCCGAGGAGGCTATTTAGCCCTGCTATAAGTGCAAATTAATGTCCTTGGCCAGACTCTGATGTCCTTCACCAGGAGGCTGGGAGTGATTTATTGGCAGTTACTATATGAATTTTGTTCCTCTGTCAGTGATGGAAGATGGATCATGCTGCTGAGAGGCAGATCTGAGTCCTTGCAGCCAAGTCCAGACAGGCACCTTCCTTAATGGCCACTTGTGGTTTTTGTGTTTCTAGAGCCTGGTTATCCCTACCCTCTCTCAGAAGTGGAAGATGTGTTTAGGGAGATGATGTATGTAGAAATATGATTATACTTTTTTATGCACATACTGCTCTATGTTGTAGAAGGGATTTTTCACTTCTTCCCCCTTCCCCCACTAGAGTAGCTGTATCCATGCTAGAAACAAATTAATTTTCACAGTCATAGTGCAAAAAGAAGACAGCAGGGGCTTCAGAGTGTGTGGAAGTGAGTAAGTGATCTTAGGAAGTGTGGGAAGGGACCTTAGAAATTAAGTCTGCTCATTTTCTAGATGGGGAAAATGATATCCAGAGAGTTATCGGACTCCAATATTTCATGAAGCCAAACCACGAGTCAAGGACTGAGGCCTGACTGCAGTGCAGTTCTTCTGGATTCTTAGCCTTTTCCTCTCCTACCCCAAAAGTTCCTATATTCCTCTAAGGTTGTATGCTTTTCCCCAAGCCACTTTGAGAAGCATTGGAAAGCACTTTGATGCGTCCGCAAAAGGAATGGACTGCACATGACCATACGCCTTCCTTTGGCTCCACTGGCATCCTGGTACATCACATATTTAGGGACTGTCCCTTCACTCTACAGATGGCCCACAGCTGTAGTGCAGTCAGAACTGCTTAGAGAGCAGCAGATTTTGCTGCAGTCATATTTTAGGGTTGAGATTGTTGTTTTGGAGGTTGCCAGTCTAGTGCCTAAAAATCCTTTTGGACCCTGGAGATATTGGAGAATATTGACCATACCGAGAAGAAAATGCCATTCAACCAGATAGAGCAGTGAGACTAACATAAATGTGTTATCACTTTGCCTTGAAAGATGTGTTCTGTGGACATTATTTCACTTTATAATCTAAGCTCACTTAAGTGGGTGATTGGATTCAGTACTGCTTTCTACTTCTGCATCACTCTTCTGTCATAAGGGAATGCCCTTAGTGGAGCGGCTTTATTGTGCTTCATTCTCAAGTCATTTTTATTTCACAATGTCCTGGTAAGCTGGGCTGCTCTCCTTTGGATTCAGAAATCAAGGCAGGTGAACAGCCTTTGAGAAAATCAAGGCAATGATCCTGTTTTTGTTGTTGTTAAGTGCCATCAAGTACAACTCATAGTGACCCTATGAACAAAAGATCTGAACTTTGTTATATAACTGTCATCATTTTTCTAATGTCCATAGAGTCTCCAAAGGCCTGTTGTTTAAGAAGTGAATGCCAGTCCTGCTTCCAAGTCTGTCTCAATCTAGCAGCCCTACCAAACCCTGTTCACCATGGGTAACCATTATGGTACTTGACACACCAGTGGCACAGCATTCAGTATCACAGCAATCCCACGAACAAAGGTCCATCCACCAAGTCCTGACTGACTGAAACAAGAAGCTTCCAGCCCACAGCTGATTGTGTTAACTAAATCCTGGCGATCAGTCAGCTTAAACACAATTGTTAACACGTTGCCGCAAATGACAGGCAAATTTGTTTCTAAGCACAGTTGGTGGTCAATTTAAAAAAGTGTGCGGCACCTAAGTGCCCATCAACAAACGAATGGATAGAGAAGCTGTGGTACATTCACACAATGGAATACTATGCTGCATTGAAAAACAAGGAACTCATGCAATATTATTCAAAATGAGTTACCCTTGACGTCATTATACTGTGTGAGCATCTCAGTCACAAAAGGACAAACACTGCATGGTGCCACTGTTGTAGAATGGAACTGACATCAGGGTTGGGGAAAGAATGAGAAAAACTGGATAAATTATATATACTGCATTGAAGTGGATGAGGGAGAGAATAGCTCAAAAGCAATATATCATAGGGTATTATGATTATCATAGGAGTCCAGAATGAAGGTTGCAGAGTGGAGGATTCTTGCCGAGGGGGGGGGGGGGATTGTATACCAATGAAGGAATTTTACTTTTCAAAGAGATGGGTGAACCAGGGGTTGGGGGTGGGGGTGGGGAGAGAAGTGCAACAATGAATGAATGGAAATCCAAAATATCTGTAAATGTTAATTAAAATGGAAAAAAAAAAGTGTGCGGCAACATGTTAACGAAGGAAAAAAACCCAACTCAACAGTTTATACCTGACTTTCACCTAAATCAAGAGAACCTACCCTCCAGAATCCAACTGCTTCTTCACACATGAGTCTCCAAACAGTAGTCCTAAGTAAACTAATTTCCTTCACATGTAACATATTAAAAATGTTTCTTTTTTAACAATGGTAAGTTGAAAGAACTATGCCAGTTTTTCTTTTATTCATTTCCTACACAGGTAAGATCATAGGAATGCAATTTAAATGCAGATTAAATGCAGCTTAGCCCCTGACGTTGATAGATAAGGAATCTGAAACCCAGAGACAGGGTTACAAGTCATGTAATGACTCTCACTCATGGTCCTGAGTCCCTTCCACCACATCATCCGAAGCTTGTAATGGAGACAGAGAATGGTTATAGAAGCGTCTTTTTAAAAACCACCTTTGCCTGCTAATTAACAGAAAACGAAGAGTCAAAAGGACCACTTTATTATTCATGAGATTTAAACCACAGCCAAAGTATTCTTCATTTCTTCAGTCTACCAGACATTGTGGTAAATATTTGTTGGTGCCCTCATGGCACTGTGAGGAAGGCATTCAGCTACTAGCCAAAAAGTCACTTTTGGTCCCTTAGCTACTATGCAAGTGTAAGATGAGGAATCTGTTTCCACTAAGACTCACAGCCTTGAAAGGGCCATGGGCAGTACTGCCCTGTCCTGTTGGGGCTGTGAGTCAGGATAAGAGACAGTGGGTTTGGATTCAGTAGACCCAGGTGTCACAGTGGCAGAGTCTATAGCATCTTGTGCTGCTAATCAGAAGGTAGCACATATTCAGAGTTCGAATCCACCAGAGACTCCATAGAAAAGAGATGAGGCAGTCATCTCCTTTAAAGATTTCCAAACTTGGAAACCTACTGAGGGTCACTGTGAGCTGGAAATGACCTGATAGTAGTGAGTGAGGTCACACAGTGGCAGGCATCAGCTGGTGAGTGAAAGAACTGTGGCTCAAACCCTTCAGCCACTCCAATCTGTCTCTTACGGTAGTGTGCTTGTTGTTTCCATTAAAGATGTAAACTGGGGAAACACTGCTATTCCATCGTGTAGAGTCAACATGAGTCACAATCAGGCAGTATCAATTTGATAGCAGTAGATTTGGTTTGGGTAGGCCCAGCAGGAGTGCTTTGGTGGCACAAATGGTTATACATATGGCTCCAAGCTGAAGGGCCAGCGGTTCAGATCCACCCAGAGATACCCTTGGAATAAAGGTCTCCTAATTTGCTTCCTAAAGATCACACCTATGAAGACCTTATGAAAGCACATGGGGTCACTCCCAATCAAAACTGACATGGCAACAGTTGGATTTCCTTCTCAGCACTGTACAAAGATGACACAAAGGAGATTTCAGCCTCAGCACTGTACAGGGAGATCCAGAGATGACCCATGCCTTCCAGAAAACAGTTTGTGTTAGTGACATTGAAAGCCTTTTACAGTGGTAAAAATAATGTCTTTCATGATTTACTCGTAGGAAGATTGCTGAAGTAGATATTCTCGTTTCCTTCTCTGTTGCTTTTCACCTCATTCCCCAGAAATTGGTGCCGATCCAAGATTGTCCTCGGTTGCTAGGGAAGATGTCTGTAGAGCGGAATCAGATGTGCTCAAGTTTATATTCCACCCCTTGTCTTGTGACCCCTGGCACTGATTGAGTTCATGTCTGCTTCTGTGCTGCTCATTCTCTCTGCAGGTACAGCCGAGATTACGTGGTAGAAGGGGAGCCATATGCTGGCTATGACAGACACAATGCAGAGGTAGCTGCCTTTCATTTGGACAGGTATGTAACACTTAACAACTTTAACCTATTCATTATTTTAATGAGTTGATGGACTTACTAATTTTTGTGACTCCACTGTAACCTGGGTAGCACCTGGATTAGCAAGGGAAAATTTAATTCTTGGTTCTTTGGTTGCTGGCATGCTTTTTATCACTTGCCATGAGTGAAAATCTTTTTTTTTTTTAAGATTTTCCCAATAAATAAAATGGCACAATGGAAATTAAATTTTGAACTAAACAAAAATTTGAACTGAGATGCCTTCACTGAATTGAACTGATTGGATCTGACAGTATGGCTTGTATTTGTTTGGTTTTGTTTTAAGTAATACTGATTTATCTCCAGATTCTAGAAACATACAGCATGGTATATAATGAACTGTATTGTATTAAATGCTTAGCTTATAAAATGAAAAAAGTTCTAACTTACAAAGTTTACCAGGAAGATTATTTTTACCCCCTGCAGCTGGTAGTCAGGAACCTTCTAGCAAACCTATTACTCTCTGACCAACTTCATCCTAACAGCATACTGATAGGCTTGAAAAGAAATTATTTACAATACTTTTCTAAAAATGAACATATAAATGGAAAAAATAGTCATTTTCTTTGTCTTTTCTCTGAATTAGGAAGGATTTTCTGAACAGAATAATAAATCATAAAGAAGTTGTTTAGTAAATGGAATTTAAAAATTAACTTCTTTCTTAATAACATTCTTTGTGTGTCTCATTGCCATTGAGTTGGAAGTGATTTGTACTGACCTTGCAGTGGATTTTTAGAGGCTGTATACTGTTTGTGAGATGATTGCAGTCATTCTCCAGTGGAGCAGCTGGTGGATTTGAACTATTAGTCTTTGGATTAACAACACAACTCCCTACCCACTAGACCACCAACTCATCTCATTATTGTGGACTTGAAACCAACTCATAGCTGATGCTCTAGCTAGTTTACAGAGGCTGTAAATCACATGAGAAGAGATTGTCTTTCTCCTGAGGAGCAGTTAGTGGATTTGGACTATCTGCCTTTGAGTTAGCAGTATAATTCTTTACCCAAAGGCCACCAGAGCTCCCTACTAGACCATCAGAGTTCCTTTATGTAAAGAATATTAAACAGGATTAAAAGAAATAACAAACTGAGATAAAATATTTTAATCTAACGTCATCTTCAAACTCAGAAAACTCAAATTTATGGCAGTCAAGTCAGAACCGACTCATAGGTGACCTTCCAGCAGATTTTCAGAGGCTGTAAATTGCATGGGAGGAAACTGCCCCTTTCTCCTTCAGAGCTGCTGATGGATTCTAACTTTTGAGTTAGCATAGTTCCCTACAGACTATGCAACAAGAACCAAATAATCTTAATATGTAAATGCTAATACAGAATTATACTTAATCTAAACTGCTGGTAGAAAAATGGGCTGAGAAACCCTGCAGTTCACTAACTAGGGCTTGGAAATTACAGATAAATGTGGAAAATAGGGAAGTGAAGGTTCATCTTTACCAATCAAAAACATTCAGTTAAAACAATGAGAAATTGTTTCCATCTGCTGAAAACGACACATATTTAAAAACTACTGCTCTTGGAAGCAGGAGTGTCATCCACTTCCTAAACAACATGCCATTGGAAACTTAAATTTGAGAAACGAGTTATAGAAGGGCTTCAGGTCTTTCACTCATAGGATTGCTATGAGTCGTGTTCTACTTGAGGCAATCAACAACATCAGTTAGTGGTAAAGAGCTGCACTGCAAACCTGAAGGCACACTGTCCGCATCTACCAGCTGCTCCACAAAAGGAAGATGCACAGTATCCTTCCATGCAATTTACTGTCTCTGAAAACTCCCTGATGGGTCAGCCGTGTGTCAGATCCGTGTGTCAATGCTCCATACCAATCTACAACTTTATTGGCAGGAGTGCAACGAGATTCTTGTTACTTGTGGCATTAATTGGTTCAGCTTTTCTTTTGAAAGACCTTGGTATTATGAATTAAAACCCTTAATGTTCATGCTTTCTGAATCAGTGACTACATATCAATGCAAATACTAGGAAAACGTTAAGATATTTCTAGGAAGTGCTTCAGATACATACTCAGAAACTAAAAACGTTCTCTGCAAAAGATCTTAGCTGAGCACTTTCAGTCATCAAAAACTGTTAAAAATAAAAACAAACTGGTAGCAATCTAGACATTTAATGATTTGGTAAAAAATAAGTATTTGTTTATAGTGCCATGAATTTTTTGTGACCTTTTCAAAGACTTTGAGATTTAGCTTCAGGTCAGTTCTCCTTACTTAATTGCACACAAGAAGCTGTTTTTCCAACACCTCATTTGTTTCCTTCCCCCCCCCTTTTTTCCTAAGCCCCTTGTTTCCTTCTTAGTGGATACCAGCAAACAAAAAAATTCTCATTTTATAATATTCAAGTAGTATTACGTATTATTCAGGACACTAACTTCTATTTTTGAGAGGGGTGTTAAAAGGTTTTCATTCAAATTAATAACAAAATACAATCAAGACTGCTCCCATAATGTGCACGTAGGCACCTTAGCTCTGAGCCTTGTGGCTCTCAGTGTTCTCAGGTTCCCAGTTCTCCCAGTATTGGCTCCCCCTCCCCACTTCAAAGTCTCATATTTTAAAAAAAATTTTTTTTTAATTATTATTATTTTGTGTATGTGTGTCTGTGTACCGTCAGATCAGATCTGACTGGTACAGGAGGAGATTGTCCCTCCTTTCCCGGCAGAGCATCTGGTGGATTTGAACCATGCGTCTCTGGGATTGCAGTGCAGCTTCTTGCCACTAGGCCACCAGAGCTCCCCTCAAAGTCTCTTTTAACATCTGTTCTACAGTTCAGCCATTACTGCTCCTGAAGTCCCAAAGCATGTCTCTTCTCTGGCTGAAGAATTCCATTTCTTCTGGTGAGGGCATGGGGAAGATTTCTATAGAGTTGTTAAGTTTCTTGGCAAGACTAGCCAAGGCTCTTGTCAGCTGTTGATACTGGCCAGTCTCCTTGTGGAATGGCAGATAGCCAGTCCCTTTGTAGATAGGCCTACATGGACTATTTGCATAGTCCCACCCATCTGCAGAGCAACATCAGATAAGGACTAGAGAAGTTATATAGAAAGATAAACTCGATAGGCCATCCTCTGGCTTCTCTAGCCATTAATATTCTCATATGAAAAAATTAACTCTCTCCTTATAATATACAATATCTATACTAGTGAAAGTTCCCCCATTTTAGATAGCCAATTTCTGATTTGCCCATCCCTGTCACACCAGTACTCTGAGGAAACAAGCATATTCCTGTCTCTGAAGAATCTTCTGTTCTAGTTAAAACTTTTATCATCTGCATCCATAAACAAAATCTAGTCAAGAGTAAACTATCACATTATAGCCATTAACACTAGATCACAGCATGGAACATCTTCTTGGGTTCTCGTCAGCTCATCTCAACCCATCATCTGCAGACTCAGGAGTCTGCATTCTTCCTGTGTTCCAAACTGACTTGTCTCTTCAGTCTTAACACCCACATGGGGCCAGGTCAACAAGATAAGGTTCCACTTGACTCCTGGCTTCTGAAAGCCAGCAGCCCTTTAGTGCTTTTCTGTGTACATGCATTATCAATGGAATATGTCAGGACACTAATTTTATTTATTTTTTATTTATATTGGTTTGCATACAAAGTTTGTATACATTGTCTTTCCCCCTATCCTTCATTCACATTATATTTCATACAATCATTCTCATTCATTATGTTTTATAAAATTAATCACTTTTGAACTATGCCCACCATTACTTCATCCTTCCAGATCCCCACTGGATCTTTTCCACTTCCTTTACTCTCCCTCCACTCACTAAATTGTGCAACCCTGTGATTTGTCCCCTGCCTATCCTCACCCCTCTACTTTCACCCTTTTCCCCCCAGGATACTAATTTTTGTTAATGTGGTATATGAAAAATGGTATCTTGATATTTTATTTTCTCTCTTCCTAGTTATTTGCTAAACAAGGAGTTCTTGTGGCATAATAGTTAAATACTTGGCTTTCAATTGAAAGATCACTGGTTCAAACCCACCAGCCACTCTGCAGGAGAAATATGTGACAATCTAATTCTGTAAAGATTATTGCTGCTGTTATGTACAGTTGAGTTGGAACCGACACATAGATGAGCTTCCACCAGGTTTTCAGGGGCAGTAAATCACACGGGAGGACATTGCCCATCTTCTGCAGAGCAGCTGGTGGATTTGAACCACCTGCCTTTGGAGTTGATGGCACAACTCCTTACCACTAGGCCACCAGAGCTCCCCTGTGTAAAGATTATAGTATTGGAAACTGTGGGGCAGTTCTGTTCTGTCCTGTGGGAGCACTATGAGTCATAATCAACTTGTTGGCAATGGGTTTGGTGTTTGAATTTTTATCTTTTCACAGTACAGTGCTTATTTTTAAACTCACAGGTATTCTTTGAGGTATTCTTTGTACAAAAAGTCATTACTGTTGTGGGGGCTTGTTTTGGTTTTGTGTATTGTTGTTGTGGTGGTTGTGGTTGTTATATACTGTTGAATCGGATCCATCTGGCACAGGAAGAGTTTGCCCCTCCTTCTCCAGTGGAGCATCTGGTGGATTTGAACTGTGCACCTTTGGGATTGCAGTGCAGTTTCTTGGCACTAGGCCGCCAAGCTCCCTAAAAAGTCATTACTGTTGATGTGAATCAGATACAATAATACTTCACTTTAAGATTTGTGCTTTTAGACACTTGTATTTAAAATTCCTTCTCTTGCTAAGAGTTTGAGAGATCATCTCTGGCCAACCTCCATGCTCCTCTGTTTTAACCACCAGCCCAGCCAGGCTTTGGGACTCAGGATGATATGGCCCTGGTGTACTAAGCTGGTTCCTTGTACGTGGCCTGGCAATGGTCAGTGAGGAGAGAAAAGACTTTGGATCTTCTTTTCCATCCATGTGCTCTCTGTCACATTAGCCTTTATCCATCCTGTTGCCTTGAGTTTCTCTTGATTTTGATGTTTTGACAAATCTGTTGATCTTGCTTTTTTTAGCATTTCCAAAATTAAGTTTAGGACAGAGTTAGCAGCCCTGAACAGAAGATCATTTATTACATAGTCACCAAAAGAATTTCTAGTAACATTGAGAAAAGACTTATGATATAATGATGAGTTAAAAGTAGGATACAAAACTGCATACAGTATAATCTCAATTATCAGTTTAGATATGTAGGATACAAAACTGCATACAGTATAATCTCAATTATCAGTTTAGATATAAGTGTGAGTATGTGTTTACATATATATGTAAAAGAAAAAATGCTTACATGTCCCAAAACATTAGCAGTTATTCCTGGATTGTAGAATTGGAGGGAGAGTGTGTTTGCCTTTTTCAGTTCCTGATTCTGCACCTCGAACTTTTTATTCAGTCAGTGTGGAAACCTAGTGAGTAGTGAGTTGTGCTGTGTGTCACCCAAAGGCAGGCAGTTTTGATCAACCTGATGCTCCTTAGAAACGTGGACAGTTTCCTCACATGTGATTTAAAGCCTCTGAAAACCCACTGGAGTATCAGCTAGGAGTTCCAACTTGAAGGCAATGAGTTTTGATTTTTTTTTAAGATATATGGAAACGTTTACTTTTAAAAAAATGATTGTGTAAAGTAGAGTTTTTAAGCCATTAGAAATATCTTCAGATACATCAATGTTTAATTTGTTCTATTGATTTATCATTTCAAATCACTCTGCATAGATTTGTGTCAATATACTATTTTACTCAAGGCTTTGAACCTGTATATGGGTTTAGAATAATTTTTCCTCTAATATTTCATTAAAATTTAGTTTTATGTATTGTAACAAATTCCTAACAAAAATAGAGAAACTAGAAAATTAACCTAATACCTACTTTCTTAATTTAACCACGTATCATATTGACCAGATTTGTTTTCTTCTTTTTACTGAAGAATACTAAATAATGTGTTCTAACGTTAAACCTCTAAGTTTGTGTACCTTTAAGAATAAGACTCACCTTGGCCTTAATCCCTTCACATATTTAACATGATTGGCCATCATTTTTTAAGACTGATACTTAAAATGCATCCCCAAAGATTGTTTTCTTCTATTTTTCCACCTTCACACCAGGATCCTGGGTTTCCGCCGAGCCCCTTTGGTGGTTGGCAGATTTGTTAATCTGCGGACAGAGATCAAGCCTGTTGCCACCGAGCAGCTGCTCAGCACCTTCCTAACTGTAGGTAAGAGGATTATCGAGGACGTTTAATAGGGGAATACCCAATAGACTAAATGGGAAATTGTTGAGCACGGAAGCAAGTTCATTACTTTTAGATCAAAGGGTACAGACAAAGATCAGGCAGCCAGTCCTCAGCTTTCTGGGAGAAGGGAAGTAGAAGGCAGGAAACCAGAAGCTTTCCCAGTGCCCTTGTTGTTGGTAAAACAAGAAGTCAGTCACTTACTAACAGTAAAAGGAGGTGATGACTGTTACCTTCTTCCTGGTCTTATAGCTAAAATGCAAGCTCAGAATCTGGCCTGAGCGTGTTACTGTCTTTGTATCATTCATTGGTTTACTTGATTTATTTCATGTATATGTACTTTCTTGGAAGCTGTCTCCTGTCGTCTTAGGCTTGGGGAAATCTTAAAAGGCAACAGGTCAGAAATTGCCTTCTGGGGTTGCATTTGTGCCTGGGAGAGTGCCCCCTACTACTGTGCATGGGTTAGCCCATAACTCACTGTGCCCACAAGCCATTGTGCATACAGCTAGCTATAGTTTCCCTCTGGCCTCTGCTCTCTATTATTTCATTTTGAAGTAAGGGATCTCAGCTAAAATACTGACTCCTGTCTTCCTTGTGGGCATGAGAAGAATGGGAAGAATTTAAAGGTACCATTGTTTCTTGTCTTAACTCTGTGTGGTGACATTTTCAGTGATTCAGTGCTCTGCATTGTGGTGTGATTGTTGAGACAGACATTGCAAGATGAACTTCACCTTGCTTTGCTAGAGTGAATGGATTTACATTCACAATGAGATTAAACTGAATATTTAAAAGACTTGTGACAGATTCATCATTCAGAATTTAAATACTTGCAAGGCCAGGGCTCTGATTTTCTTACAAATAACCAAAAGCACATAGTGGTGTTGATTTGTTTCAGATACCATCTAATTACCTCTGGTTGTTCAATTTTATGCTCAGCAAAAATGATTTTAATTCCTTTTGGGTTCTGGGATAGAAAGCATACCCAGGGTCCCTGCTGTCCAGGGACGCACAGGAAATTAACTCTCAGATGTTGTGGGGAAGAGAGGCCAGGAAAGGTTTCGTAGAGGAGATTATTAATGCCTGGACTGAGTATTAAAAAAACAGTGGCACTTACCCAGGCAAGGACAGAAGGAAGGACATTGGATGAAATAATAGGAAATATCAATGAGAATAAGAGCATAAAGACTTGGAAGAAACTCATTGAGTTAGAACCAACTCATAGCTGGCCTTCCAGCAGATTTGTAGAGGCCACAAATTGAGAGATTGCTTATCCTTCTCCTGATGGATTTGAACCACCTGTCTTTCTTTGAGTTGGCAGCACAACTCCTTCCCCACTAGGCTACACTACTCACTGTTCTCTAAGTGTATAAATTCTATTTGTTTTCAGGTCTTTTTTTTAGCTCCCTAAAGACCTGAAAGCACACAGAATTTATACACTTAGAGAACAGTGAGTTTCTGTATACGTAGAAGTATAAGGCAAATAGAGGGATTTTTTTATAATGTGATAATCTTAGCCCAATTTTTAAAAAATATTAATGAATAATTTGGTATACTTCTGTGTAGCCCAGTACAACTTTACAAAGTACTTTCACACATTTAACTTACTTGATCATCTTAGGAATAGAGTACAATCAGTAGAGGAGTTACCTATATTTTACACATGAGAAAGCAGTCTTAGGATAAAAGACTTCTGAAGTCATAAAAGTACTAATTGTTTGCCAGAATATAAACCCAGATTTTTAAGACACTAAAATCTCTCATTATCTTTCAATTAGTCAATAAAGTTCTTTCACTCTGTGTGTCGCGCTCTGAACTAAGTACTGAATATATATAAAAAAATAAAAGAATGAAATACTTTATATGCCTTCAAGGAACTTTATCTAATAATCTGACCTCCAAAGGGTCCAAGGGAGTGAGAAAGAGACAAAATAGGCTAGAAGTTGATGTAAGTTGATATTTTAACAAAGCCCAAAAGGAGAAATTTCTGCTTTCCAGGCAGATAATAGGAAAGAATTGTTCTGGGTTTAAATTCTTACCGCTTTTTGGTGCCATCTACGCTTGGTAGCCTGGAGAAGCTCATAGACCCTTTCTCAAAATATTTTAGCGTAAGATTAAATACATAGATTTACAAAGGAAACTAACAATAATGAAGTATAAAAAAATCTCAATCAGTTTTATAATACAGTGGCATGTGTTTTATTTAATAAATAACTACTCTGGTAGTGATCTAATAGAAATAGCATCATTTCTGGCTAATGATGAATGTAGTTGATACTTTGAGTTATCTACAACATTGCTAACATGGTGTATGTTCTTTTGGTGATAAGTCATGTTGTTCTTGTTTGTTGCCCTGGAATCAGGTTCAGATTCATGGCAGTCCCAAGTGTTAAGGGGGAGTTTTGAGGATGGTGACCTTTGGGAAGCAAATAGGCAGTCTGTGGATGCCCTGAATTAAGAACCCTGTTCCAGATGGAGGACAGAATGTGAACAAGAATGATAATAAGTGAGGGAAGAGCAGGCTACACCCCTCAGACTGTGTCATTTGGCTTAAGGCAATGGTGTGTGTGGAGTTCATGAGTGAGGGAGACCAGAGTCTGAAGAGTATCGCCGAAGAATTCTGAGACATCCTCCTTATTTAGGCACTGAATGTCATTGCAGAAGTCTTGATGAAGAATTCTAATTTGGATTTTAGAAAAATAATTGTGACAGCATTTTGTGGAGGAATGAACGGAGAACACTTAGCTATTGTAGTAAATTCATATCCAGTAAGAGTCAGACTAAGAGTGGAAAGAGTTTAGTGACTATTTGGCCTTCAAGGGTAATTGTGTTAAAGGAAAAAGTAAAAGTGATACCTGGATTTCTGGATTGGATTATATAAATGAATAAAGAAGCTGTTAGCTGTGCTGAAAACATATGGAAGAAGACGACTTGGGAGGAAGTGGAGCTCAGGGAGGCAATGAATTTAAGGTTGACTGTTTTGGTTCCTTGACAGGAACATGCAAGAGTAAATGATGGCTAGTCACTTAGGAGCTTAGGAGACAAGCCTCGGGTGGAGGTGTGACTTTGATGATCACAGTTGGTAGTTCACTCAAGAGAAATGTTGAGGCTGAGGTAATTAGAAAACCAAATTTTGAAAATTTGACATGTCTAGGAAATAGTCAAAGGTCCAGAGTTACGGCAATAAAATAGGACATTGAGGTCTGAAAAGGTAGAGTGGAACCAGACTATGAATAGTAAGTGACTGGTGCTGGATGGGCTCTGCTGGGCCTCTGCCAGTGTCTGGGGCACTAATCTGGATTTTCTCCTTAACTTTTACCAACCCAGTAGTAGAAGAACTAAGTCCTTTTCACAGAAGTTTTCTTGAGAGGTGAAATTACAAGTCCAAAGTCATGCAATCTCATACTAATGTCTGCCTTCTCACGGCTAAAATCTAGCCCCCAAATCCCAACTCTTATACATTATATGTTCTTCCAGTTATAAAGATCTTACTTGCCCAGCTGAGGAGTTTGGACTTTATCCTATAAGTAGTAGGTTTCCTATACCAAGAAGTAGTTTTTGTTTTGTTCTTTTGTACATTCTTGGTTTTTTTTTTCTTTTAAATCGGTGGTCCAGCCACATAATTTAAAAAGTTTTTAAGACATAGACAGGACTACAATGAAACAGTTTTCCTCTCATCTATATACTTTTCCCCCCTTTACAGATTTCTTTATAATTTTGTATGATAAATAAGTAAATAAGCCAAACCCACTGCTGTCGAGTTATTCCAATTTCTAGTGACCCTCCATTGGTTTCCAAGGCTGTAAATCTTTATGAGAGGGGACGCCATGCTTTTTCCAAATAAGTGGATGGTGGATCCAAAACTTCTGACATTTTTGTTAGCAATCCAACATGTTGCACACTACACCACCAGAGACCCTCCTATCAGGTTTGTGTTTGTAAGACTATAAATCTTAACAGAATCAGACTCTTCTCTTCCCCTGTAGAGCGACTAGTGTATTCAAACTGCTGACCTTGCTGTTAGCAGTCCATGCATAACCCACAACAGCATCACGGAGGGCTCTTTGATATAGGAATATGTATTCTATTTTTAATTCCATCCATTTATATAAAATGTTGCACACGCCACATATTTTTATTTAATCTATCTTGGAAGTTTTACTATATCACGACAGAACTTCTCTATTATTTTGTTTTACTCATTGCAAAGTATTCTGTTGTACAAGTATACCATCTTTGACTTAACCATTCTCTGCTTACACTCAGCTGCCAGCTGAAGAGTTAGTGGTTCAAACCCTCCTAGCAGCACGTTGGATCAAGGTCTGGTGATTGGCTTCAGTAAAGATTACAGTCAGGAATGCCCTGTGAAGTGCAGTGCTGCTGTTAGCACAAGCACATGAGTCTTAGCAAGTCGATGGTCAATCATTATATTTTGTTTTTTCACAGAGTGTGACATGAACAAATATATCCAAATAAATGATGGAGGTACTGGGTTAAAGAGAACATATATTTTAAATTTTGCAGATGTTGCCAAATTACACTGTGTAAATGTTTCACTGGTTTAAAGTCCTAATAGTGATGCATGACAATGCCTGTTTCCTAACAGTATGTTGTCAAACTTTTGAATTTTGCCTGTGAGAGTTGTTGTTAGTTGCTGTCCATCCCAACTCCTAAGAAATCCCTATGTGTCTGCTAGAACTGGGCTCCATAGATTTTTTTCAGAGCTGTGACCTTTTAGAAAGAGAAGGTCCAGCCTGTCTTCTCAGTGCCTATTGGTGAGTTCAGGCTGCAGCCTTGCAGCTAATAATCAAGCCCTTCATTGTGTCACCCAGGAACACTATCTGATATTTAGCACCATTTTACCTAAGAGTTGCTTCAAGTTTTTGTTAACCCGTCTTCTATACCATTTGCTTTTTGCTGTGCTGTCATTGACTTAACAGGATCTCTTTCTTACATTGGGAAGACAGCCTTTATTATATGAGCTACAAAGATTTTCCCAGTCTGTATTCCTTTTGACTTTGCTCATGACATTTTTGCCTAACAGAAGACTTTTGTTTCTTTGCATCTTCTCTGATCATTTTAAAAATTTTGTTTTATAGGTAACCTTGCTCATACCAAGGTTGTGGGAGAACTCACTCTGTCCTATTTTCTTTTAGTATTGTAGAGTTTCATTTTTCACATTTGAATTTTATATATATATATATATATAGTTGGAATTTACCTTGTTATTTGAAACAAGGTCTTGGTCACAGCCGTTTTTATTTTTGTTTTTTCTTTTCCCTGATGACTGCCCCTTCTCCTGATTGCATATATTGCACATGCCATCTTTTCACCACTGTGATGTTGTTTCTTTTGTGTGTGCATCAGCTGACTTTTATTCTGTCCCAGTGGGCATTATATTTGCTCTTGAGCTGGCCCATAAGGTTTCACTTATTCAGAAATTATATTTTGATAGCGAGTAGAGCTAATTCTTTTTCTTTGCTCTTAAAGGTTTTCTAGCAGTTCTTATTTCTTTTTTTCCTTCTGACTTAATATATTAAGTTGCTCTTTAAAATCTGATAAGTCAAAACAACTATGAGATAACATCTCACCCCAGTAAGAATAGAAAACTTTAACAGAACAGCAAACATCAAATGCTGGCAAGGTTGTGGAGAAACTGGAACCCTTATTCACTGTTGGTGGGAGTGTAAAATGGTGCAACCACTGTGGAAGGTGGTATGGCGCTTTCTCAAAATGTTGCAAATAGAGATACCCTTTGACCCAGCAATTCCACTACTGGGAATATACCCCAAAGAGACCATAACTGACATCTAAGCAGATA